CGATAAGTTCAATTTATTAAAGTTAACACAATGAGATGCACACTCTTGATTAAAAATAACAATCATCATCAACATGAACAGTTTGGGTGATTTGGGTCAGTCCTCTCTCCTACAAAGAACGCCTGACAGTTTGTCAACCAGGTGAATGTGTAGACTTACACGGCTGGAGTCAAATGGAATTACATTTAGCCTTGAGGGAAGTTGCACTATGTTGGCCAAAACATTGGCAACTGTGCCTAGGAACCGGTGCCTCTCAGACAGCAAAGTAGTATCTATAGCCCAGCAGGTGTGTGCTATCTGCTTCTCTTCCTTGGTTCTCCTTTTGTCACCTTTGTTGTGTTTTCTTACATTCTGTTCAAGTTTTTTGTTATTCCTTTATATTTTCCTGCGATCTTGTTCTGATCTCTTTATTTCTGTGTTTGTCTAGTTTTTTTCTCTAACCAGATGTCTTAGAATCCTTGACTGAGCTCTTCTAATCTTTGTAGGTCTCTACTTCTCATTGTTCAGATTTCTGATCCATACATTAATGCTGACTTTGTTTTATTCTGTGTATTCTCTGCTTTCTAAAGTTTTTAAATACAACAATAATAATAATAATTAAATAATAATAATAATAATGCACTCAAATAATTTATTTCAGGATAACATTTTTCACTTTTTAACAATATATTTCAATATTATAATAATCATTATTTAACTTATAATTAGAACTTCAGAAAAAAGTTTCTTTAATTTCTTTTATTACAGCCCTACAATAATTTGTATTAAGAATTGTTATAACAACTTTCAGTAATAATTACATTAACAAATAGTAATAATTAAATTAGTATCTTATATCAGTTTAATTCTAGTATTCAAAAGGTTAAGTTATGCCATAGCTATTCATGAATTCATTAATATACTTTGACAATAAACTTAGAAAACTATGAGAGCTGCACAGACTATGACAATGGTTAGAGAAGTAGTGATAGGATGCAAATCTACTCTTGCTGCTCCTCTTCATATGAAAATGCTGGTTTGCAGGGGTTCTACCTGCCAGATTGGGAACATCATTATATTTCTTGCCCATGCATTTTTGATTTAGGTACCCTTGCAAACCTTTCTCTAGGATTATTTCATATTGTTGTTTTATGATCTAGATGTGACTGGCATCATTATAATATTATGTTTACTTAAGTGAATTTAGCAAAAACATCAAACTAGAATCACTTAAACAATAAGAATAAAGAAAAGATTTCTAGGATTTTAGTTAACAAAAAAAAATAATGATAAAATTTTGAAATTGCATTGCATTAACTCAATTATTTAACAAACTTCCTATGTTTCATAATCCTACAATGTGTCTAAATTTTCTCTCAACTTAATACTTAATTAGGTCCTTCATCTAAAAACATATTGGAATGTTGAATTTCAAATGAACTTACCAGCTTCAAAAACTTGTCACACATTACATGTCTTAAATTGAATTCATATTGTAATATTGATAAGAAATGCCAAAAATGCAGCATATTTTCCACAGGAGTGAATCGAGTGTACATTAATAGTCACTATATCATTGTCTTCAAACAACATAATATTTTCAGGACACTCATTTAGCAAACTTCAATTATTTTGCCATGTCCATGATATTTCTAATGCTTATTGGAATTTTACCTTGCCATAATATGAATAATACAAATCATGTCTTTGACATCAAAAATCCAGAACACATTATTCCGAATATCATATGTAAAATCATGTGCCGTCCCAGATTAAATCATTATCTATGAAAACGAGAAACATACATTAAACACATTTCTTTTCATAAAACTTTAATAACTCTATGAAACTGTACATGTCATCATATTTATCGATATTTTCTGAATTTCAATACCATATTATACATTTTTTCAATCCCAAAATTTCAAATATTCCTTGATATTGCTCTGATGAATATGCCACAATAATTTGGTCTTTCATAATGTCAGAAGGTGATACCACTTAGTTAGTTTATGGTTTGCAAAAGGAAGGATAAACCACTTTGTTAGTTTATGGTTTACAAAAGGGGCCCAATATAAATATACAAAGAAATAAAAAGATAGATTTGATGAGATGTTACGTCATACAAAAAAGTGTTTAGAAGGGCAAGAGACCCAAGTTTTAAAATTGCATGTCCAGAAAGACAAGCCACTGCACAGCGTGTTGCAGTCAGATTGTCTTTATTCTGCTGAAGGTCCTGAGTGGATACACCTAGATAACATTCTTCATGGTTTGTTGCACAGCTCCAGTCACAATCAAGGATTAAACTAAAATCCCATTTGATAAGGCTGGCACAGCATTGACCTATTTTGAAGTGTGCTCTGTTAAAGGAAACCCCGCTTTTTCAAGGCAGGTTGAATTCAGAGGGTAGAGGAATTGAAGAGCACATGCCAATTAGTGGGAGTGTTGCCTATCCAGACCTTCTTCCACTCTGTATTAATATTGTAGTTTTCACTAGGCCTTAAGTAATTGAAAGAGGATGGTAGTGTACGAGGTTCAAATATTTTAGTGCAATGACACATTATCGAGTATCGGGTTCATTGCATACTCAGTTATATTATATTATAAAGCATTTCCTATTGGCCGTGAATTGATGGTTAATTCACAGACAAATTATTTTATTGGCGTTTGTTTCCAAAGAAAAGTTATGACTAGTATTACTTTCATATGGAAGCAGTTTTAAAATTGGGGAATTCTGGAAATGCTTAGGAAAACCACCCTCAGATAATAACTGTTACATAATCCTCTCTACATGCAGTGAGTCATTTCATGCAGTCAGAAAACACACCACTACTTTCTTCTCTGTTAAATAAACAAAGTGTGTGTGTTCCCCCTTCCCTTTTTTCTTCTTTTTTCCTTTCTTGACGAAATGTATCTTTGAACTCTTCTTGGACTTTGAGTTCCAGCCATGGAGTAATTCTCCGAACTTTTTTTCCTTGTTTTTGGCATTTTGCAGTCAGTCAGTCTGCCTCTTATCCCTTTGATGATGGGCTTGGTGCCATTAGTAACCTGGGTTCCCAGGAGGTCACCCACCTAGAAATCCATGGTGTCTCGATTGCTTAACTTCTGTGCACATCTGTAATGAAGTTTCTGATGCCATTTTGCCAACAAAAGCTTCCTTACTGTTTTGACTATTTTTCTTCTTTTATAATATTAAGGTTGTGCTTAAAATTAGTCCAAGCACTGAGAATATCCATAAATATTGGCAAAGAAAAAATCTACTGTTCTATGGAACTTCATTCCTTTAAGGTCAAAAAAGGAGGGGGTATTATTTATTGTTAAAAAGGAACTTGTTAGTGTTTGTTTTTACCCTGAATGTAATGACTCAGTCTGATTAATACAGTAAGAAATAATGACTATATTGTACTCCTTATAATAAGCACAGACACAAAATCCATGTATGTGTGAAAGATTTACCTCTTGGCCCTAAATCAGACAGACACAAGGCACAAAAATGTATTTATATGGTATAAGGGAAAAGCAGGTGCACATATAAAATGCACCAGATGTTACATCTTTGTTATTTTTCTCTATATAACTCTTGAAACCAAGTGCCCCAGGTCTTTAAAACCAGGTTTTCGTGTTCTGAAGCACGACTCACATTTCTTATGTCTACTAAATGATCCTTTTTTACAATATCTCCTTTTTCATTTCTGTAGGTCAGCACTTCTGAGTATCCCCAATCTGAAGCAAAGGTGATCAGAAATAAGCAGAAACTTAGTAGATATAGAATTAAATCAAAGGAATAGAGACAAAAATAATTTTCCATGATAAAATTAAGATGAGTTTTACTCTCTCGTATATGTATGTATTTACGGACTAAAATACATAGTACAGAGAGAGTTAGGTAATGTTGCGGAAAATCAATTTTGAGATTTTAGCAAAAATATACGTTTTGGGGGCCCCTGATAATACCGAAAAAGTGGTTGTTTATTCTGTTTTGTTTTTTCTTTTGCAAATGGTCATCCGCCTGTGAACACCACTAGTGCCTGATTCATACGTGGGATGTTTTTCCAAAATGGATTTTCCCCGGTCGATTTGTGTGAAGTCCAGGATTTGCTATTTTGAATAACAGTCTTTAAAATTTGTTGGTACTTTACATGAAGCGCCAGGGACATTGTCAAAATGTTCTCAAAAGTGACTCAAAATTTTTTCTTTAATTTTTTTGAAAAATAGAGTAAATTACACTTATAAATATGTTATAGATCCGTTTTCCACTGTTAACTAAATTTTCAAAAATTTCGAAAATTAGAATTTTTTTCGATGTCTTTCTACAAAACTGAAGATAGAGATTTTTTGTTCAAGTAAAATTTTTCTCTATAATTTCATTCATTATTCATTAAGGTCAAGTACATTTTTTTGAAACTTTCAGTAGTTTTGGCACAATATTGCATGCAATATGCACACAACTAAAAAATAACAAAAACAATATTTTCTCAAAACTGGCTCCAATTTTTTTTCTTTAAAATTTTGTTAGGGATAGTGTTAAATGTGACCCATGGGGTCCCGCAAGGATCCACACTCGTAATTGTAAATGACCTGCCATCAATAATGAAAAACAACAAAACTGTACTTTGTGCTGATGACACTAATATAATATTCAAAGAAAGAACAACCAAAGGTTTGCAAGTCAAAGCTAATTCAGCCATTGTCACAGCCATTCAAAATTGAGCAAACTCAATTATTCACTTAGAATAATAACAAGAAACAGTATCATTGAAACAGATCCCCCTTCCCACCCCCAGAGGGGGTGGAAAAACATTTGAAGCCTAGGAACATTTTTAAAATGTTTCTGTTTGAAAAAATATGAATATCATTTTATTTGAATAATTATTGTAATACAATTCTAACTGTTTTTCTTCGTACCTCAGGATGAGAAGGGTTTCTGGAATGGTAGAATTACCCGATCATTAAATATTACAGGAAAGTAAGAGGAGAGAAAAAAGCACGAACACAGGAGAAAATTTAATTAAAGGAAATAATAAGAACACCATTGTTTTCTTTATTGGTATATTTTACCATAAAAATGCATTTCAACAGGCAAGTTTGCAACACTGACGCTAGTCAACACTACAAACAAGTTTTATGTACTTTGCATTGTACAATAACAAGTTTCCCTGCAATCATGCATTATCCCAGCCATATCCAAAGATATCTCATTCTAGCAACATGCATTTTCCTTACTTCACAGGTAATGACACACAATTTACTACCTTCTTGACTAGGCAGAGCCTACAAAACCATCTACTACAACATTTATTCTAGGGCATCCAAACTAAATCCAGTTAATTATTTGCAAAAGAATTTCAAAAACCAGTTTCCTGCCGAAATTAAAAGCTAGTAGAAAACATAGAAGAAACAAATCAAACCAGCCTGGTCTGTCAATGAATCAAAACATCGTGAACTTATATACTTTGCTCAAGTTTACACTGCAGTTTCAGTCAGAGATTATCAGATTTATGGGCTTATGTTGAATGACTATTGAAATTAAATACTAATCTTTAACTTATTCAATTTTAGGAAACATAATGATAATACTAATCTTGTCTCTATGGTAGACTATATTCTGAAAAAAATTATTCACTGAAATTGTATTTTCTTAACTTTCTATGTGCAAATACAATGAAATAATAAAACCTTTGTTGCGATTGTGATTAACTTACTGAAGAGAGAAATAACTTTATTGCTTGTTCCGTAGTGATTAAAGAGACCCATATGTTTATCTTCCATTATTTTTTTTAAATTTATTTTTCATTTACTATTTTTATTTAGATTTTCGTTACACAAAAGCGGCATGAACTGGTTTTCGAACTTGTTTGGATGTTCTAAACTATTCCTATTTTAACTTGGCCTTCAGTATCGGAAGTAGCACATGACAAAGATGACACAACACAGTACTTGACTTTAGGCCACGTTACACACTACATAGACATATAACATACTACCAGGAAGTCTAAAAAACACAAATGAACAAAAAACTAAACATAGCACAACATTCCCTCACTACACAGTTCTAACTTTCAACACATCTACACCATTGCTTTCTCAGTAAGGATTTTTTATACTCTCTCCAAATCCACTCTTTAAATGCATACACCATCAGACACACCTTTCTAACTTGCCATCAACATTTGAACAATGTCATAACAATATATTCTTAAAACTCTGCAACCACATTGGCATCACCCTGTGCACAAGTGAAAGCAGAGACACATTACATAAATACTATATATGTTAATACATAACATTATAGCACCAATCAACCAGTTCCGCTGTTTTCTTGGCTTATATTTAGTGAAGTTTCACAACAACCATTATTATGTTCAGATCACAGAAAAAGAAAATGGAAAATCATAAGACAGATTGCACATATATGAAAGCAGATGGTGTATGATGATGTTCAGATGACGTAACTCTGTGAGCAAAGTTGATCGGCATTCTCACCTAACATAAAAAGAATAATCTCATTTCAAAGTTTCCAAAAGGTCTCCTCTCTTATGCTTCGCAAAATTCAGAAGCCTACTTATCACATTAACAAGGCTGCTAAAGCAAATTGTATTGCAAATTTGCCATTTCACTTCTATCTCCAAGATAATGTTCATCAATTCTAATCATTCCCAATTACTAATTCAGAATCCTTAATAACTTAATAACAAGCTCCACTTAAAGAGTTCCTCACTAAACACAGCATTGTTGGAGACGCTCTTGCATGTGCAATACCTCTTGCCTGTGTACATCAGGAGTTCTTTTAAATACTAAAGTAACAATGAAAATGAGAATGAAAATATAATACAAAAGAATGGCGGTGAACTATTTTCAAAAAATTCTTCATATTGCCACTGTGGCTAGAAGAACTGTAATGTCGTCTGGTTTTCCACCTGCAAAATACAGAAATAGAAATTATACCAATTCTTTCTTAATTTCAAGCTACAGATGCACATACCAAGTTAACTGACAATTGTTGCATGTATTTAATTGACAAACTATCAATGTCACAGAAAAATCATAACTAATTTATTTATTTATTTACAAGAATTTTAGAGTACTATAAAAATTCACTCTAAAATAATCAGTAGTATGTTAGATGATGACACAGAATTTTGTAAACCTACCAATAGCATCAATGCCATTTTCACGAGCACTTTCAGCAAATGGAGACAGAAAGTTGCTGTCAAAAGCAAGGCTGCGGGCCATTAGGGCAATGGAATTGGCCACTCCTTGGATCTTGATTGGATCTCGCTCTCCCTGCACTTTGGTCAACTCGCTGAGGAGGAGATGGTCAGGCACATTATCAAACACACCATCAGTAGCCAATAGGATGACATCTCCATCCTCCACCTGGAAGTTTGTTGTGTCAGCTGACTCGGGTCTGCAAAATTTAAAAAAGAAAAATTTCAAATGTTTTCATCAAGAAAATATAATTACAAAATATAAAAGTCATAACTAAAGAATCTTCTAAATCCTTCTAGTTCAATGAATAGTTCTTAGAAATAATGAAGAAGAATTTCTAAGAGGAAAATGAAATGTAAACATCAACTTGTATCATAAAATAAATTCTAGTTTAACATTACAAAGATTAGACTTTTTAGATCAAAAATCACTGCTCCCTATTATACAGTGTTTCAGAAGATGATGCATCTTGTTGGTAGGTTTCAAATCCTAAATCTACAGAGGTTTCCAAAAGTACACATATTTGTTACCATTTAAATTTAATTTGATAAGTAAAAAAATGTGTAACAACATCATTCAGTTCCCTTAACACAAATGAAAATCCTTGTACATGCATATTTACCCTGCACCCTTACCCCTTCACCCTTTTCCATCTTACTCTTTCTCCTTCCTATTCTTCTCTAACATTGTTTATATCATGTTCCTTCTAACTTCTCATTCAGTATTACCATATTTCCAACAACGGTAAAGATGATATCAGAAACCAAGAACAAATATTTAGACAAATATTTTTGAAACACTAATGGTTTTAATTTGTCTTGCAATAAATATATGTGTATTGGGAATACTCCACTACTTGTTACACCATCAATAAGGAAATTGTATGAAAGAGCGAGATTTGTAATTAATGATTTTTTAAAATTATTTTTTCTCTTGTGAAGGCATACAGGGGCAGGAGACAAATTCATTTTTCTCCATAAAAAGAGGGCATTTCCATCTTACAGGAAAAAATGTCTGCAACTTTGTTGAAATTAAAGAAGTTATGATCATTTGAATTTAGCCCATTATTCTTCAAATTTTGTAGAGTGTAGAACAGAATAATTTTTATATTTATTCACTTACAAATTAAGTTTAAATTGAGGTGTTTTTTTGCATAGGTGTACAAAAACTATAGAGGTGTGATTTTCAAATCTTTATAGGGATCTGTCCTACTGCACAACCAACAAAGTCCACCACCTCTATATTATCACCATGTTAAATCAGACATCAACCAAATTGAAACTCCTCAATAGGAAAAACATTGATTAATTATTTCTGGTGTTAAAATCCTTGTCATAGTAGTTCAAAAAATAAATGCAGATATTAACATTTGTTCATCTGTAATACTAAAAAAATAAACTAAAAATAAGGGGGGGGTGCGGAGTGTGTGTGGGAGGAGGAGGAAGAGGAAGAAGAGGAAGAGGAAGA